CTGGTGGGGGCCGGCTGGTTTGCCCTGAAGGTGTCCTGGATCAGGGTGGGGGTCCCCACTGGGTGGCCTGGCCAGTCTGGGTGAGGGGCTGAGGGCTGTTTTCCGGGTGGCGAGTGACTAAAGCTTCCAACCGCTCCTTGTTTTCTTCTTCTTTTTTTTTTTTTATTCTGGGCCAGCTTTAGCTCTGAGGCCTCACTACTGAAAACATGGATACAATGTTTCGGTCCGGCTGGGTTTCAGTCTGCGGGTTTCTGGGGTTTTGTTTACCTTCTTATTTGCAACATAGTACATAGTTGCTTAGAGTTGCAGCTGAGAGGCCGGCAAGTGAGGGGGGGAACGTTGGAGTCCGCAGCATGCAAGCCTCATGCTCGCTTCAGTGCCTGGCTGCCGGCCGCCATCTTGGCTGACAGTTAATTTGCATATACTCACTGATTAGCCAATGAAAAGGGTAGCGGTCGTACGCTAATTACCATGTTTCTCTTTTATTAGTGTAGATTACTAGAGGCTCGGTGCATGAAATTCGTGCACTTAGGGTTGGGGGTAGGTCGTCCCTCAGCCCGGCCTGTGCCCTCTTGCAGTCTGGGAGCCCTCAGAGGATGTCCTACTGACAGCTTAGGCCTGCTCCCCACCACTGCCACTGCGCTCGCCAGCCGTGAGCCTGAATTCTGGCTGAGCAGCTCTCCCTCTATGGGAGCACACTGACCACCAGGGAGCAGCTCCTGCGTTGAGCATCTACTCCCTGGTAGTCAGTGCGCATCATAGCAACCAGTCGTTCCTCCGTTCAGTCAATTTGCATATTAGCCTTTTATTATATAGGATAGCCATAGTGGATATGAATGGTATCTCACTATTGTTTTGATTTGCATTTCCCTGATGGGTAATGATGTTGTTCAGCTTTTCTTGTGGTTATTTTGCCATTTGTATATCTTCTTTGGAGAAATGTCTGTTTAATTCTTTTGGCTATTTCTTGAGTTGTCTTTTTACTGTTGAGTATTTAGGAAATAAAAAGTTGTAGATATTTTCAGGAAAAGTTTATAGTATAGGTAAGTGGTTGGCTGCTTTGACCAGTGAGTCACATTTGGTCTGGCCACTTGTTTTTTGTATAGCCTATGAGCTGAGAATACATTTTATATTTTTATTATCTCTCTCTTTTTTTTTTCTTTTTGGTTTTTAGAGAGAATGGAAGGGAAGGGGATAGACAGAGTGAGAGAAACATCAGTGTGAGAGAGACGCATTGATTGCTTGCCTTCCCGGCCAATGCTCTAACCACTGAGCAACTGGCCAGGGCCAGAGCTGCATTTTTTAAATGACTGAAAAAAGTTCAAAGGAGTAATATTTTGTGATACGGGAAAATTATGTGACATTTAGAATTTCTCATTCATGAATAATGTTTTATTGCAACACAGCCATCCTCATTCCTTTATGTTTGTCTGTGGCTGCTTTCCTGCCACAAAGGCAGAGTTGAGTAGTTGCAGCAGAGTTTGTATGTAGTACTCACACTTCTCAGTGCTGAGTGCTGCTTGGCGCACTGCTAATGGCACTGGCACAGCTATAACTTGACAGTATTTTAGTACCACTTGTATCACTGTACTGTGGTGTTTTGTTATCAGTGCTTTACCTATCCTGCCAAAACAAGAAAAGAAAAAAGTCAGTTTTTAGTTGGAAAAGCAGCTGTATGTTCTAAGCTCAAATTATTTTGGGGGAGAGGGGTGGTTACCTCAGTGCAAGCACGAAAGAAATTTCCACATTTCATACTTCATTTGACTCTGCAGTTGAGGAGCTTCCACCCAACCTTCAATCAGGACTCACTAAGCTGCAGTATAATGACATGCTAGCAGGCAAAAATCAAGAAAAGAATCTAATATAATTCTGCAAATGCTTTCCAAGCAATGAATGTGCCCAATTAAAATTATATGTGTATGGATATGTATCAGTACTGGCAGTATGTAACTGTACAAAAAGACATATTTCAAAGATAAAGTATGTAAAATTTTACAGATAAACATTGCAATCAATTTTTATGATAGGGAACACTAATTTTGAACCCCAACTTAGCAAAATGTTAACTCTCTTAGAAGATTTTCATTCTTCTCATTAGTAGACCTGTATAGCAAATTTATACTGTTTTTATTATATTTTGAATTTCATCAATAAAAATGTTGTGGAAATTTTATTCTCTCTTGCTATATAAGTACTTCCGTGACATTCTTGATTTTTCCGTTTGGTTATTTGCTTTGTAGCCCTTTACAGAAGAAGTGCTGACCTCTGGTATAAATAATTAATCTGAGTTACCCCTTAATCTGACCCTGATTTACTTTTCCTTAATCCTGGTTTACTGTTTCTTAATTGGAATGCTTCTTTCTAATTTACTCTTAATCCAGAATTTCCCAAATTCGCTTGATCGTAGTCACTAGACATACTTGTTAAAAACACAGACTACCTTCTGATTCAGCCAGGAAATTTGATCTTATGATCAAGAAAATTTGGGAAGCAGTCTCATGCTATAGAGATTTACCTCAGAGCCCTTAGCCTACTGGTACATTAAATCGCCTCTGTTAGTTCTCAATTCTTTAATTGCTTTTTACTTAGGGCTATTATTAGTTCTGCTAATCACCCCACCCCTGCCCCTTCCCCAATCACCTGAATAAAATACTACCATCTGTTATTCATTTCGTAGGTGGACCTGCTTGAAGTAAAATCTGCAAATTTGGAGACTATCCTTTGTTTTACACAAGAACAAGCACTGAGTCTAAGCTATACCAGAAGCTTTTATTTAGACAATAACAACCTTTAACACAGATTGGGATCAACAAAAAGATCATATTAAAAATTAAGCCTGCCCCTGGCCAGGTGGCTCAGTTGGTTGGAGCATCGTTGGTACCCCAAAGGTTGTGAGCTGGATTCCTGGTCAGGGCACATACAGAGATTGCAGGTTTGATTTTAGTCGCATAGGGGAGGCAACCTTCTGTGGCCCCTCCCCCAGCCGGCCCTGCCCCTGACCAGCTCCTCATCCCCACCCCAATGGGGGCGGGGCTGGCCAGCCAACCTCCCTCGGCCCCTCCCCTTGGCCAGGCCAGCCGGATCCCACCCATGCATGAATTCGTGCACCAGGCCTCTAGTATATAGATATGACTAGAAGAATGAATATTCTCTAAAGATGTACTTCTCTTGCCTATCCTTGGAGGATTTGTGGTCATGAGAGGGGCATTTGATCATTCCAAATATTGGTCCTCATTTACTTAAAAAGGTTTGAGTATTAAATAAATGGCTTTGCTTTAGTTAATTTTTCACGCTGGTTGTATTTGCTGTTACGTATTTGATGGTGAGAACAATCAGAATTACTCTTAGCCTTATGAAAATCATATTTAAAAATCTAAGCTATTTTAATTAAAACAATTGTTTCTTTTTTCATTGATTTCTAGATGAAGCCAGCCTGTATAAAAGCCCTTACTCGTATATTTAAAATATCTGATCAAGATAATGATGGCACTCTCAATGATGCTGAGCTCAACTTCTTTCAGGTAACCTTCCCCTTTTTCTGACGTTTGTATACCTTGTTGTTTTTTGGGGGGGGATGGGACTGAGAAAAGCTATTAGAATTTATTAGCTTAAACAGTGGTATGTTGATAAATTTGAGTCTGTTTCATGTGAAAATTATCTTTCATATCAAGCTATTTAAGTCTTTGCCTAGGGTATAAAACTCTCTTATGCATAGGAATCAAGGAGACTCTTTGATAGCATTATTTCATGGTACACAATGGATGTGTATTTAGGATGACGAAGTCTGAACTCTGAGTTATTTTTCTTTCTTGGTTTTGTATAACATAGCTTCACAAAGAGCCCTGTGTTTTAGAAATGTGATGGGGAGAATAGGGAAGGTTTCTTTCCTTCTAAGTATGACATGTTTTGCATAAATAATACAAGGCAGAGACCATCCTAATTTATAATTTGTTTCTTTCGGTTGCAACTCATTGATTTAATATTGCTTTGTAGACTAATGTTTTTATATATTTATATTTAATGCTGATTTTTGTTGGTTTTTGGTTTTGTATTTTGGTTTTTTGTTTTGTTTTTTGCTAGAGAATTTGTTTCAACACTCCATTAGCTCCTCAGGCTCTAGAAGATGTCAAGAATGTAGTCAGAAAACATATAAGTGATGGTGTGGCTGATAGTGGATTGACACTGAAAGGTAGGTGAATGGTGTTCTTTCCCTTTTTTAACTCAATAATTTCAAAATTTGGTATAAGGTCTTTATAGCATTATTTACACTTTAAGGAAATGTTAGTTTTACTCATATGTCTGAAATCTAACTTGGACATGTAGGAGTTGGAAGAGACAGGCAATTTCGTGGGGATAGTTATCTTCACTGTCAGCGTAAATTAGAGGAAGGGAAATTGGTGACGTCCACCTGAAGGAAAAAGATTTCTGGAACAAACAAATTTATCTTAAAGTTCTTCTGATTCATAAGCATCCTTTAAGTAGAAATTATTTTTAGGGGAGACATTTTGCCTCTCCGTCAGATTTACCAAGTATACAATGTTCCCTGTAGAATGTGTGATAGAACCACAGTAAAATAAGAAATGAAATTGAAAACCAGAACTTTTCGTTATAAAGCACAAAGATCTATAACACAATGTCCTTTGTTTTTATCACCTAACTTTGTGAATGTCAGTGTATTCCTTGGGATATGTTTTGGCCCTTTCTTCTGGTGCCATCTCTTGCTGACCTGGGTATATATATATGAAATGATTCTGAAATCAGCTCTGTTTTTATTGAGACACTTGTGAATTTTGTTTTGATTTGACCTTCAGTATGCAAAACTATTAAGCCCAGGTTCATGAATGTAGTGCTTGCCATTTTGTGTTGCATGCTTTTCTCCCATGTGAGTCTGTGCCCTTTTTCACATCAGCTGTGTTTACTAATTCATTTTATTTCAGGTTTTCTTTTTTTACACACACTTTTTATCCAGAGAGGGAGACATGAAACTACTTGGACTGTGCTTCGACGATTTGGTTATGATGATGACCTGGATTTGACACCTGAGTATTTATTCCCCTTGTATGTACCTTTGGCTTTCTAATTGATTTTACTTGCCAAGTATTTTAAAGTTTTATTTAGCACATAGGTAGGCTTTGGGGTACTCAGGAATAATTTAGATTTATAGAGAGATTTGAAACAGGGTTTCTCAACCTCGGCTCTATTGACATTTTGGTCTGGATGATTCTTTGCTGTAGAGTCTGTCCCATGCATTGTAAGATTTTTAGCACATCCTTAGATGCCAGTAACACCTCCTCCCCCAACTGTAACAAGTGAAAATGTCTAGCATCTCTAGAAGTCACCAAATGTTCCCTCAGGAGTGAAGTCATCCCCAGTGGAGAGCCACTGATTTATAGAATGGCTCAGACTTTTCCTTTTCTTCTTGTGGAGAATACAAGTGTTTTTATTTTTTTTTAATATATCTTTATTGACTTCAGAGAGGAAGGGGAAGGGGGAGAGAGAGATATATAAACATCAATGGTTAGAGAGAATCATTGACCAGCTGCCTCCTGAACGCCACACACTGGGGATCAAGCCCGCAACCCGGGCATGTGCCCTGACCGGAAATCAAACTGTGACCTCCTGGTTCTTAGGTGGATGCTCAACGACTGAGCCACGCCAGCCAGGCTACAAGTATTTTTAAAAATTTATTCTACTGAGAAAAAAGATAAAAGATGCTAGACAAACTGTTTTTGAAGTCAATAGATGAGAAGTATATTGGTTAACTTTTTTTTTTTTTCATTAGTCCTTCTCCTTCCTAAGGTTTATAGCCTGTTCTTAGCTCAGGATAAAATAAGTATTTTTTCCTAAACAAGCAGTCTATTTGTGGTTATTTTTCCTTAAATAGTGCAGTGTTTACATTCTGTTTGTTTAAAAATGGACCCAGCCCATCTGGAGTGGCTCAGTCAGTTGAGCATCATCCCATGCACCAAAAGGTTACCAGTTCAATTCCTGGTCAAGGCACATATCTGGGTTGCGGTGTGGTCCCCAGTTGGGGCATATATGGAAAGGCAACTGATCAATGTTTCTCTCTCTCTCTCCTACCCGCTCTTCCTCTCTCTAAGCATGTCCTTGGGTGAGGATTAAAAATGATAAATAAATAAAAATGGACCCAATGTCACCCCAAAACAGGAGACTGTCTTGCTGTAGGATGCCACTACTGTAACAAAGAAGTGACTTCCCAGGATCTGGCCTTCGAAGCTTTGGCCTTCTTCACTTTTTCAGCATCATGTAATCTTCATGTTGTCTTTTATTTTAGCATAGCACCCCTATGCTAAAATAAAATATGCAGAACTAGTATGTAAGGGTTCAGAAGGACTTTGTCATTTGTTTCTTCCCCTATCATTGAGGAAGCAGAGTTCCTTCTGGTTGGATTCCTAGTCCATTAATCAGTTCTAACTTGAAACCTCTCTTGTCAAAGTTATTAAATTAAATTTTGGCTCCAGTAATTTTCCAGCTTTTTCAATAAATCTATATTGAATGAATGAATGAATTTGTCCATGACGTTTTCATCAAAATTTCTTTTCTGTACCATTTATGTGGGTAGATAAATTCTACAAGGGGTTGCTTATTGCTTTCTTAAGTATGACAGTGAGAAAACTCCCATCTCTTATGGCTCTGTGGCTCTATTATCTCTTTCAATGTCTTTATTTTTCTGCCTTGAATTTTCTGCAAAATAGTCACTTAGAGCTACCACTTGAATTTTTCTAGCTTTCTTATTAAACTCTGCCTCTGTCCTTCACACTGTTGCTAGATTGAATAGATATATAAATACAGATGTGACCTTGGCACTTCCCTTCAAGACAGGATAAAGCCCAAGCTTCTTAACATGGTACATGAGGTCATTCATGATCCGATCATGCTCACTCCCTGCCTTCATTCTAGAAGTAAATCCAAAACTATTTATAGTCCACCAATCACATTTTCTACCCCCGATATTTCCACTCTCTCCCTCCCTCTCCCCTCAACCTAATTAATTCCTCTTATCCTTCAAGTCTCAATTCATCTTGACAGTGTCTCAGCAGCGCTGACACCTTCCCCTCCCCAGGCCAGAGACGTTCCAATTCACGTGGGCTTCCCGAGCATCCTTAGCTTGCCCATACTTGTCCCATTCTGTTGCGATAGTGAATTATCTGTGGTCCATCTCCCACTTGAATGCGGTTTCTTAGAGCGGAGAAGCCTGTCTTGTTTTTGTGTCCCTAGTACCTAGCTCAGTGCATTTGATAAATGTTTATTGAACTAAATTTAGGTTGAATCAAAAAGGTCAAATCAGGCAGAAATAACATCTCTTTACATCATTTTCAACTCATTACCGTATTGACATAATTATGACTCACAATTTGTTTATAGAGGAACAAACCCGTTAAGGTTTAATCAGTATTATTTATAAAAAATTTTTATTTCAACCTGCCCTTCAGATATTTAAGAACACTTTACATGTCAACTCGAATGAGCATTATTTTGACCCTGAGGCTTGCCTGGCCACTCTAGTGACTTTCCCTGGGAAAGTCCACCTGGCTCCAGCAAGGATATTGTGTGAGTGGTGTTATCCCACAAAAAGACTTGTTGCAGTTTTATATTCATTTCTTAAATTAAATTTCAATATTTGATTAATGATTTGTTTTACTCTTAAATTTTTTCATCAACAGGCTAAAAATACCTCCTGATTGCACTACTGAATTAAATCATCATGCGTATTTGTTTCTCCAAAGCACCTTTGACAAACATGATTTGGTAAGCTCTTAGCTGTAATTTTCCATGATAAAATATTTTTCAGTGAGTGATTTAACTCTGTTCTCTTAGCTTTGAGGTACTCATGTCATATAGCCAAAAATTGCTTAAACTCTCTTAAGTTAAACTAGCAAAAATACTCTTATTTTTATTGTTTTCTCAAGATGAAAAAGTCTAGTTTATAGACTCTTGCGTAAGTTTTCTTATAAACATGTAAGACATTTTCTTGATAAAATGTAAAATTTCTTTTCATATGTTAGTTTTTAGAAGCATAGTTTTACTAGACGAGGGGCTTTCGTGTTTGGGAATTACTTGCTTAGATATCTAAACATTATACTTTCTTGTGTATCTTCAGGATAGAGACTGTGCTTTATCACCTGATGAGCTTAAAGATTTGTTTAAAGTTTTCCCTTACATACCTTGGGGGCCAGATGTGAATAACACAGTTTGTACAAATGAAAGAGGCTGGATAACCTACCAGGGATTCCTTTCCCAGTGGACGTGAGTATAGAGCTCACCTGTTAGCTCTAGAATTGTCACTACTTTAAAATTATGTTGCATTACGTTAATCATTTTGTAAGTTTTTCTCTTACTAGGTGTTTCAATCATAATAAGCAGGATTGATAGTGAAAGGATCTGTTTGCTTTTGGATGATGTAGATGGATGGAAACAGTAATAAGTCTTATATCAAAAGTGAGCTAAATTTTAATCCATTTTTTATTAAGAGAATTGGAAACATCATTGCTATTGCAGAATTCTTTACACCTTTAGGATATGGGAAGAGCATATTTTACTTGGCACTGAAGACTTAAGGGTTTTTATTGTTTGTCACGCACTCTTAGTGAGGGTTTGTCTACAGTCTGGGTATAGCCTAGTAGACATTGTATTTAGGGTGCTAAGGAAATCCTCTGGTCATGTATGAGGACATAATTACTTTAATCTTGGGGAGACTAACTTTTCTTAATACCAGAATCTATTCTTTTTCAAATCATAAAGACTACCTAATTTCCAGTAATTAGGTAAGGATGTTGTGGGAGTGGTGTTATCCCACAAAAAGACTTGTACCTTTTAGTTATTTTTGCTCCGTTCACAAACCTTTTCAGATTAATTATCATTAAGTTCTCAACTAGCCAGTATTTGCAGTGTACTATGTAACTTGGGAAGCAAATTATTTTCAAAAATCCCTGCTCTAGATTTACCAGCAGCTCACTGCTCATCTATGTGGCCTTGCTCTCTCTGGGCAGGTGAGATATGGAATCCCCCCACATCTTGCATTCTCCTCCCTTCTCTGTCTTAAGAATGCATTGTAGAAAGAGCCATGGTTGGGCTCATGGGAAATTAAAGCAGCCTGACAAAACTCATCTGCATCTGGTGGTAAAATTATTTGAGCTGTTGGAATTTTTTTTCCTATAAATGTTCATTGAGGAACTTTTCACATTTATACTCTTCTATTTCTTAGGCTCACGACCTATTTAGATGTACAGCGGTGCCTGGAGTATTTGGGCTACTTAGGCTATTCAATATTGACTGAACAAGAGTCTCAAGCTTCAGCCATTACAGGTAAGTAAATAAAATTAGTAAAAAAAGTTAGAAACATTTTTAAGGTTCCACTTTCATATGTAAAAAGAGTGAACATAAATATATCTTTGCTGGTCTTCCATGTCTATACTCTTACTTGTTTTTCCTATGATTTGATCATTTCTTTTGAGTTAAGATGCTTGATTTTATTGTTTATCAACAAAGAAAGCATAGGTTTTATTCTAGTTTACCCCTGAGGCTACTCCACTGATGAAAATCAGGGGGAGCCATGGGCATTAAAAGTATAGTTTGTCCTGTGTTTTAATTTTCTTTGAACATTAAAACAATGCATATTAACACATGAACCTGATATTGAACTGATTGTACATCTCTCGGCTTTGTAACCATTTTCCACATTCATAAATTTTTCACAAATCTTATCATTCTTGCCAAGCAATGTCCTTCACTTAAAGAAAACCCATAGGAATGAAAATAACACATTAGGGAACTGATATTTCAAGAGTTTCTTATATCCCAGTTGGGGGGGAGGGGGAGAATGCCGTATCTTACAGGAAGCCCCAGCACAAGAAGACAGCCAATCTTAAATTGACGGACCTTTAACGTCCTTAACTAATTAACAGTATTTTAGTTCATCCTCAAAGAGTAAGGAACTAATTGCTAACCAGCATGAGGTTTTTTTCATGCAACAAAATACTGTGGACATCTTTCTGTATCACTAATCGACTTTAATATATCTTTGATGCTAAATAATGTGTCATCATATGGAAGTTCTATAACTTATTTAACCCATAACTATTGTGGGTTGTTTTTTTTTTATCATTTTCAGTTTTTTACCTCTGGTGAGCTTTGTTGCAATTGAATCTTTAGCTATAGCTTAAGGTCTCTTTACCTCAAGAAGAGATGCCCCGTTTCTCTGCTGATACAGCATTGCTCCCTGGACTGCCTCTTTTACAGATTTACATTGGAAAGGCCAGTTAACCCCAGAGTGCATATCCCTTTACCATTCATAGATCCAAGAGATTGCAGATTCCAGAGAGCATCTTTTAGCTTGTAACTCGTTATGACAATAACTTATCACAGAAAAAAAAAAATAGGTGAGCCGAACCAGTTTGGCTCAGTGGATAGAGCATCGGCCTACGGACTGAAGGGTCCCAGGTTCAATTCCGGTCAAGGGCATGTACCTTGGTTGCGGGCACATCCCCAGTGGGGGGTGTGCAGGAGGCAGCTGATCGATGTTTCTCTCTCATCGATGTTTCTAGCTCTCTATCCCTCTCCCTTCCTCTCTGTGAAAAACCAATAAAATATATTTTTTAAAAAACAATAGGTGAGATGTAATGGTGGCTATATTTATTGTAATTTTCATTCATTTTTAAGATATTTTCCTTATGAAATGTATTATTTTATTATTAAATAAATTTCACTTGGTTGCTAGAAGTTCACTTTGCAGCCAACTTTTCAGAAATGCATCTTTTCCACTAAGTGAGGCCCTTCTGTATCATATTTAGTACTTTATTTCACACACAGCTTGACTGTTGTACAGTATGTTTATTTACTGATAAGAGATAAGTAGCAATACCCTATTCTGCAGAAGGTAAATTAGGTTCAGTGAGTCTAAGTGGTACATAATTAGTGTTTTTTCTTTTTAGTAACAAGAGATAAAAAGATAGACCTTCAGAAAAAACAGACTCAAAGAAATGTGTTCAGATGTAATGTAATTGGGATGAAAAACTGTGGGAAAAGTGGAGTTCTTCAGGCTCTTCTTGGAAGAAACTTAATGGTGAGAAAAATGCAATTTTATCCTGCAAGTTTTTATAGTCATGAGTTTACATAATTTTTATAGCTATTAACTTTTTTAGATAATTATATAACTCAGTGACCTATGTATATTAGTATAATCTAAAGTGTAACAATAATCCTATTGAACTGGCTTTATCTTCGCTTGTTTATTTATTTATTTATGTATTTATTTTCAATATACTTTTTTTCTTTTTTATTGAATTTATTGGGGTGACATTGGTTAATACAATTATATAGGTTTCAGGTGTACAATTCTATATAATATGTTATCTGTATATTGTATTATGTGTTCACTACCCTATCTTTGTTTTTTTATGTTGGCTATCATTTTTCTTTTTTAAAAACCAGTGTTTAGATGAGAATTAAATGAATACACTTGTGAAAGTCATAACAGTGCTTGGCATGAAGTAAATATACAATAAAGACTTAGAAGGGAATGCTGAAATCCCATTCTGACTGCTTCTTTGAATAAGGAGATTGACGTATTTTCAGATGAGTCTCAAATCAGATAAAATTATAGTATAATGAGAATTGCCAGCAGGCGGCTCTGGAATACAGTTTCAATAATGTAGTTTACTTCCTTTTCGGTCACTGCCTTCACTTAGTGCTGAGCAAGTGCATCTTTTGTTTTAGACCTTAAGAACTAAGAAACAAAGTCAATACCTCCTTTGTACTGAAAAAGAATACATAGTGTAGGGAAGAATGCCCTTTTATTTGACAGTCCCACGGGTATACGTACTGATGGCAACTAGTTGCTGTGATATCTTACTATAAATATTAAAATTTTTGGTTGTTTTCAGAGACAGAAGAAAATTCGTGATGATCATAAATCCTACTATGCGATTAACACTGTTTATGTATATGGACAAGAGAAATACTTGTTGGTAAGAAGTTTTCTGGTATATAAAGATTATTAATTATTAGGTATATTTTTTAAAGACTCATTGGAAACTAATTGAGTTTAATTTAATGGCTGTATGTGGAACTTTCATGTGATTTTTTCCCCCGCCACCTGGCTTATTCATTGGAATTAATTTTAATCCCCTTGATATGTATGGTGATTACATGGGTATAGCTCTAAGTAAAAATTCATCTATTTGTGTGTTTAATTGTATGTTATACTACAATAAGAAAGTAAAAATGTTAACTCTTCTTTACTTTTTCTTGCCCTTTTATTTAAAAAAATTATCCTCTACTGTTAATTAGAAATTAATATGAAAATCTTAGTGCAGGTGCTTGATAGTGTATCTGTAATCAGAATTTTTTATCTATTTAGCAGGGAAGGAGTGTACTTAACAAATGTGTGAGCCTAAGAAAAATGAATGAAAGAAGGGTATAACTGAAAAGATACTATGAAATGCAGTAGAAAGAGATTATATGTTCTCTTTTGACCCAGTCAGATTTCATTTTGAACGCTGGTTGACCATTGATTAGCTGTGTTACCTCAGGCAGGTCGCTTACTCTCTCTGAGCCTCAGTTTCTCAAGTTAGCTAATATGAGAAACTGCTAACAGGTTCTTCCAGACAAATGATCACTTGAATTTTACTCTTTATGATAAAAGGTTTTTGTCAGTTTCTTATTAAACCTTATTTATCTCCTATTCTTTACCTACTGTGTACTCAGTAAATATTGCTGACTGTTAATTTTCCTGTTTTTATTCTTACAGTATTTATAAATTAGCATCTTTCACGTCTGAATATTCATGTTATAATAGTGTTTTATTTGGAATATATTGAGTTACTTCTGACTCTACACTTCCCCTTTCTTCTCCTCAACAAAGAGGCACTATCTTATATAACTCAGTTCTGAATTTTACTTTGTTGGATTATTATCATATCATAGATGAGATATTTCTTTAGAAGTTTTATAAGTTAACGTTGTAATACTTTAAACAATAAAATAAAATTTTTAAAAAAGTAGGCAATAAAGTAGAACAAGTGGAGCATAGTGTGAAAAGTTCTTTGCTTTGTGTTTTTGATTGGTAGGGAGAAAAGGTAGTATGGTAGAATGAAAATAGACTTTGAATCATATCTGTGTTGAAATTTTGGTGTAATGATTTGTTAGATGTGTTATTTTAAGCAGTTGACTTAATCTCATAGCCTGTCATCTTATCTATAGACTGTAGAGAATGTAGGTAAAGGGTCTGCCCACTACACTTTAGTCACTCAGTAAATGTTAGCTTTTGTAAATCCTAATCACCATTTTTAATTCACAAAATCAGAAAATACTTATCTGTACTTCCCACTTCTAAAAATGGTCTGAAAATTTATGCTTAACTAGTATCTTTTAATTAGGAAGTTAAGTTAAACATATAGTAAAACATCATGACTTTAATTATTCATTGATATTATGATATTTATGTTTTTCATTATTTTTTTCTTTTTACAAGATGCATGATATCTCAGAATCGGAGTTTCTAACGGAGGCTGAGATCTTTTGTGACGTTGTATGCCTCGTATATGATGTCAGTAATCCCAAATCCTTTGAATACTGTGCCAGGATTTTTAAGGTTTGTTGCTCTTTTGGTGTATAACTAAGTTTAACTTTATATGGAGTTTAATGGAATTGTAATGTGGTGTTTTCTAACCAAGAAAATCATTTGTGGGGCTTTTAAAAAGTGTATACATCTGTGTCCTGTCCCTAAAGGTTCTGGTTTTGTTCTGAGGTGGTAAGGTCCCAGACATCTGTATTTTAAAAAACATTTTTTCCCATGCATGACTCTGATGTGCATTCCTGGGTAAGACCCCCTGTATTAATGGAAGGTCTTCTTGGCTGTTAGGGACGCCCATGGATTGTATATTGCCAGGTCCATCATGAATAATAATAGAATAAGGGGGAAAACCAGAGGCTTGAAAAGTTATTAGTCACTTTGAGATTTTAACAAGATTTAATTCCTTTGTACATAAAACTGTATGTACAAAGGAATTTATTCTAGCATTATTTTTAACTAGAGGCCCAGTGCACAGTCAGGGCCAGGGAGGGACCACAGGAGGGCTCCAGAGCATGTCTGGCCCATCTCACTCAGTCCTGATCGGCCAGACCCCAGCAGCAAGCTCACTTACCGGTTGGAGCATCTGCCCCCTGGTGGTCAGTGCACATCATAGCGACTGGCCAACCAGTCGACTGTCTGCCCCCAGTAGTCAGTGCATGTCATAGCAAGCAGTTGAGCAGCTTTAGCATATCATTAACATATTACACTTTGATTGGTTGAATGGACGACTGGACACTTAGCTTATTAGGCTTTTATTATATAGGATAGCAAAAAACTAGAAATAATTCAGATGTGTAAGAATAGGAGAGGATACTTTACCAAATTAAGATAAAATAATCCAGTGTTCTATTAAACAGCCATTAAAAACAATGGTTTTGAATTCTGAAAACATGGGAGATTCTGTATAATATATTTTTAAATGTTTATACCCAGCATGACGGCCACTATATATATATAAACATGTAGTATATAAATGCATGTGCTTAAGGACTGAAGGTAATACGAAAAAAGAAAATAGTGTGCTTTAGGATAGAGGACTTTATATAGATTTCTTTTTATTTCAAAATATCATGTCTTTTTCATAAAAAAAATTTTCAAATTCGATGAATCTGAAGAAGCATTACAGGTTTATATTGTTACCAGCATTAGAAAAGTGGCCCTGGTCGTATTACGAGACTGACCTGGACCACTATTGTTGCTTTGCCTACCCAGAGAAAAAATTTAGTACACATTTAATTAAACAGAGTAATTTTTGAACTTGTCATCAGATTTTTGTTTCATTTTTTTATTCCACAGCAACACTTTATGGACAGCAGAATACCTTGCTTAATCATAGCTGCAAAGTCAGACCTGCATGAAGTTAAACAAGAATATAGTATTTCACCTGCTGATTTCTGCAGGAAACACAAAATGCCTCCACCACAAGCCTTCACTTGCAATACCACTGAGGCACCCAGTAAAGATATCTTTGTTAAGTTGACAACAATGGCCATGTACCCGTAAGTACTTACTCTGCCATCATTTTCATGTTGCATGGTTCATAACGACATTGCATGCCATTATTAGCCATGAGAGTGGAACCTTTGTCCATAGAAGTTGTTCAGCAACAGAAAGAGATTATAATGAGAAGGTACAAATTTGAGAAAATGGAAGTTTGGTTTGGGTGCCATAATAAATTTATATAAACAGTGCTGACAGTATTGGTATAGATTTGAACGTGCTATAACTATCTTAATAGGGTAGTATAATAAAACTAAGCTCCCCACCCAGCATTAGAAAAACAACAGTCTTACTGCAATAAAGTGGGGTTGGCACATGTTGCTTTATGCTTGTAAGGTATTTCCATATGAACAAAAAGTTCATTTTTATATTTTTCTGTTGATTAATTGATCTTGAGTATGTGAAGGATGCTAAAATCTTTTATGTAATTAAATTACGGGTATATTTGAGTTCAGGATATGATGTCTTTTTTAAGTGCTGTAAAAAGTAGTTGGAATTGGAATTCCTGCTATATAAATGTTTTACATTGTGTTATACCACAAGTTTTATGTACATTTATTGTATAGCTATACATGCATATGCACAAGCACATAACTGTGGTCATCTTCATAGTGTACTAACTGCCTTAAAATTGCATGGTTCTTAATGACATTCTCCTCGAGCACTATGTATAAATTCTGTTTTGTAACAAGATAGTTTTCAGGCAGTGCGTTTCTCGGGACTTTATAGTTTATTCTATTTATAATTATGTTATTCTCTAAATTATTATTCTCATGAAAACTACGGTATGAAATAGAGTAATCAAACATTGCTATAAACTGAGTTTTTTCCGAAAGTTGTTCATTTGTTACAGATTTTTCAAGTCAGAGTTAACTTTACTGCTATTTCATTAACTAATTAATACTTGCTTTAAAATGCAGTAAACCCTTGCAGTTCTATTTATGTTGGAAGACAAGGCATTTCTATTACTATAAGATAAGCACAGCCTTATTTATGTTTTACCTTTGCTTTAAAACTCTCATGTGTGTATCTACAGAGAGGATCATTACAGAAACAGACTCTCCCGAGACACAGGCAGCACTGATAGAATAGAGAATTTGAGAAAAGTCTGGGTCTTTCTAAAAACTGCTTTGTAAGTTACTTTTTCTTTATGGCTTCTGTGGGATTTTGTTGACATTTTCTTATAGATGAGCAAGTCTCCTTTCTTGCCATAATTAACATTCAGTAATTATCCAGAAACGCACTGCTTGGTCAGGCTTACTGCCTAACTGTGTATTATGGTGTCTTTTGTTTACTGTGTAAATGCACTATTTTAATCTTGTAAATAACTGCAACTGTGTTTTTAGATCTGTACCTTTTAATATTTTACTGCACTTTGTGTGTATGTGTATGTGTGTATGATAAATGTACATAATTGGACACTTGTTTATATGGTTAACCCCAAACTCCTTCTCATGAAGCATCTCCCTGTTGCTAAGCATACTTTGCACCCCTCCTTTTTGGTGGGTGGAGCTGGTGTATGTTGAACAGTCGGACTCAGTTTATAAAATAAAAGATGGATTCCAGTATGACAGCTGGCAGTGACTTAGTAGCAGTGATATGTTCATCATCACAAGTCAAGTTTTAAATTAATTCTTGTTTTTCTTCATGTTGGGAATTAGGCATTATTGGGATGCTGCTAAATCTCCACAACCATGCCACTGTGCCCTGTGGTCTCATCCGATCTCACAAGCTAAGCCAACTCAGATTGGGCCAGTCCTTTGACTGAGAAGCCTTGCAAAAAATGTTCAGGTGTTACAGGAAGTGATGGCATTGGTTCATCAGGTGGCGCTCTTCTGTGGGGGTTCTGCACCAGTACCTCTTCAGGGTAGTGTGATTCAGGCTTTGTGTGTCTGAGTGGCTCTGACCACTGAGCAGTCATTGGAGACCCCTACTTTGGTTGTTAGGGCGGAGGTGAAATGGGTTGCCCCATGTGCCTGTACCAACTAGTACTATTCCACTCAACCAGAAAGGAGTCAGAAAGCCTCCCTAAATTTCATATCTAATACCAGTTGGATCATTGTTGGTTTTTACATCCTTACCCAGCGTTTCATAGTAGCAGATGAAATTAACCCTCTATTTTGTTCAAAATGCAGCTCTTTGATTTCCTTGGGGAATCAAATTGCTTGATATTTCAAAGATGATGTTCATATCTCCTCAGGGTTTGAATATACTCGTCTTTTGATTTTTGTGTGTATTTGTCACTCTTCTTCTTCCTGGTTTTCAGGCATGTGTGTATGCTGAGGGAAGAGGAGGAGGAGGAGGGAATGGTTATTTAAATGTTAGTAAATTTTGTCTATTTGGTGGGTGCTATGGCTTACTCAGTTTTTCTTTTTATTAATTTAGATGAGGGTGCCAGCTATTGCTGTGCATATTTATTCCACTAAAACTCCTGTAATAATAATTCCATCTCCCTTGTCCTTAGATTTTCTATAGGGAGGGAGGAGGGAGCCAAAGCTGTTTACTGTGTTTTTTATATATGTGGAATTCTGCACAACTTTAGCATGCCCCACACTATCCTTTTCCTTAGTGTTGCTTATGCCTAATTTTTTTTTAACTTGGCACACCCTGACTTGTGCCATATTTGTAAGTAAGAACTCAACTCCTGTCCTTCTGTGTGTTTTCGCAGCCATGCCCGGTTACGCTGTATGTGCACCTGCAACAGGTGTACATTTTGCATCTGTCAGAACTTCCTCAACTCAGAGTTGCTGCAATCTATAAAGAACAAAATCTTCACTGCAATTCTTAACAGGTTCTTAACTTTATTTACTGGGTACCAGGCATTCTGTTAAAATACAAAAGGAAAAAGTGGATAATTATTTATTACACTTATACTTACTTACAAAGACAATGAGCTGACTGATGCCCAGCTAACTTCCATTAAAATTCTCACTGTGGTGACAGTATTTAGATTTGGAATCATTCTTAGTAATGTCTCTAAATTCATAGCTATATTTAGGGGACTATAAAATTTGGGGTTTGTTTTTGTTTGTTTTTTCATTAAGGAAGCTAAAGCATCTTTCATATTAGAGGATAATATGTGTAAGGAGATTAAAAGCTTTTGGCTGAGAGTTGTAGAAATAAATTGGGACATTCATAGTAAGGAAAAGACACATTGATCCCAAGTGTCATAATGTATTTAGCGTACATTCAAATAATACAACTTGTTAAACCCATACCAATGTGAACAATGTCTTGGGTTTGAACAAATTATCTATTTTAAGTGCCTGGAATGTTTATTTGAAAGAGCATCGTTTCTGGAAATGAGGATAGTAACCAACTTTAAGGATTCAAAGGAATATGGAAAAGAAAAAGAGATCTATAGTACTAGTTTTTGAGGTCTTTGTAAATGAGTCCAAAACATGACATATGCCTAGAAAGTAATATGTTTTGAAAAACGAAAGAAAAATAGGATATATACCTTCCCTCAAAGCAATGAATTTGGGGGGTTATATTCTTATTCTGGTCATGCTACCTTTGTTCAGATTTATTTTACATTTTGTGAGCATTTAAGAGCCTATGTAATACTAATTTATATCTAATGTTAAATTTTTATGTGTCTAAGGATGAATTAGGATTTTGAACTCATTCAAAGGTCATTGGGAACTGGCCTTGATTAAGACAGATGATCAAGCTCAGTAGGCTTGGATGAGAAATGGGTCAGTTAATTTGTTTACCATTGGACTTTTGCTGAGGGCTAGGCTCTGACTATACCAGATGAGCAGGATAGTTTGTGTCTACCAGCAATATAGTTGGTGTGGCTATGAAACAGGGAGACTGTAGCTTATGTGAGCCAGAAACGGACTTTGAAATCTTTCTAAATGAGCTTTGGGGAGGCTTTGAGCACCGGCAGCTCTGAGTAAGAGTGCAGCCATCTCAGGTGCCTGCTTTGAAGGGATCCCCACACCCATTTGGTGGTCAAGTTCTGCCTTTGTCCCGTGAATGGCACCTCCTAAAGTAGCAGTGCAGATTCTCTCATTGCGCCTGTCTGAGGAGCTGCAGGCTAGTTTAAACCTCAACGTTCAGGAGCTCTGATTTGGACATGGTAGAGGTGGAAGGGATTCTAACGTTCTTCCGACCTAACCTCCCATTAGAATGCTTTTTTGCAAGTCTTCCTGAGAGCGTGCTGTTTGTCTGCTGGTGGCTTTCCTTGTTGGAGAGGGCTTTTTGTTTTTTATTTTATTTTGTTTTTAACTAAAATGATTTCCCTATAACTTTCTTTCCTTTAGTTTTAGTTCTGCCCTTTAGAACAACATACGACTATTCTACTCCCTCTTCAACATAGCAATCCTTCAGACATTTGAAGATGACCATCATGTCTCCCCTAATTTTCTCTTCTCCAGGTAGAACATCCCCATTTCTTTCAGCCTTTTCTTAAATTAGATGGTTTAGTGACTTCATCATTCCTGGTTGTCCTCATCTCAAAGCCCCTTAGGTTTTTAGAGTACCTCTTAAAAGGTGCCGCTGAGAATGGGGACCAGTGCTCCAGGTGTGACCTGACTAGTCCAGAACAGTGGTCAGACGTGTTCCATGGTTAAGACAGCACCTGTCTACTGCATGAGTTAACGTTTTAGCAGCCCCATCCCACTGTTGATGCATTTTAATCTTGGGGTTAATTGAAATCAGATTTTTTTTTTCATATGAAGTGCTATTAAGGCAGTGTCCACTCCTCTCTAATTGTGTATTTGCCATTTTTAGTTGACTCTTTGAATCTAATTGCAGGTACATATGTATCTCTATTAAATGTCATATTCTTTTTTATCCATTTGTTCTAGCTCAGTCATTTCAAACATTATTTTGTCATTTGTCCCACTATATATCTCTCTCAACATTGTGTTATTTGCAAATATGTCTTCTTTATCTTTCTAGTTGTTGATAAAAAATAATGTTCAATACCCAGAGATTGGAGAGAGTGCTAAAAAAAAAAAAAAAAGCATGCAAGCCCTATAGCACTCCACTAGAGGACTCTTCTCAGCAACATAGGTTCAGAATTCTTGGAGAAAGATTATTTTGTCAGTTAAAAATATTTTATTATCCAGTCTATAGTTTATCTTATTATCTTATGAGAGATTTCATGGAGGGCTTTTTAAAAATAAACATATACTCTCTACCACATTCCTCTCATCTACCAGCATGGTAATTTCATCTAAATAGGAAGTGACATCTATTTGGTGTTTTATTCTTGGTGAACCTACCTTGGCACCTAGTAATTGCTGATCACAAACCATCTATTTTATTTATTCTAGAAATCCTTATTGTCCAGAATTGCAGATTAATTTATTGTCTGCTCCTTAATGACAATTTTATTCTTAGATCAGCTTCCAAATGAAATAGGTTGGGTGTGCATTATTGGATAAGCTCGCTGATAGTATATTATTCTATACAGTGATCTTCGAGCAGAAATCAGTACATTTTTTCATATTTATTTATAAGAAATAATTTAATGGTGATGTTGCAATACATCACTGATATCTGATAATCAAGAATGGAAGGAATGGAAAAGAAGAGGAGGGAAACCTTTAAAGAACTCCTTCCTGATCCCTGATAGTATTTCAATAATTTATTTCATAGAAATTTAAAAGTTGTATATTAAAGTTTCTTCCGGTTTACAAAAGGATGTAAATAAAGTTGGTGGGAGTAGAGGCCCAAATGAAGTGCCTACAGGATCTAGATAGAAAATGTAAATGAATGAAGGTGACCAAGTTTAAAAAATAAGAGAGGTGGGGACTATGACAGGCCCTGTCTAAAAGAGGCCTCCACAACTCAGTTCTGGACTTTTGTTATTGGTGTTGCCAGGTGTTCTGATTCTATGAGACTAGAAATCAGGGTTTTTATGTGAAGTTTTCTGTTATTTAAATAGCAAATTTTAAAAGTACAAGTCAGAAAAAAAAAAACAACCTGTTTACAGGCCACCAGTTTGCAACCTCAATTTTAAGATATGACTTAGTTGTAAAAATGTAGGTATACACACGACAAAGTACACCTAAGAAATGAAAATGTCTCTTAACCCTCCTTCCCCTTCCCCATTTTACTCCTTTCTCGTGTAAAATTTGAAAAAGTTGCAGGGCGATGGGGTGAGAATGGAATCACCTTATCCTAGTATTTCTCAGGTTTTGGCATCTTTGGTGGTTGGTCACCATTGGCTTGCCAGGATAGGTATATCTTAATGTTACATAATGATTAATTGAATACAAGTCATTTAAGAACTTTTCACTGTAATTTAGTAGGGATTCTCACTCAATACTAACTCTTAAGTCTTTGGTTTTATAAATCTGCCATGCCTAGTTTTTTATTTGGAACTTTAAAAGAGCAGTTTTAAATTTTTGATTTAAGCAAAAAGTTTCATCAAATTTCTGCAAAAAAATTGATAGACAAATATTGGTACATGTAGGTTGATCTCAAATTAGCACAGTTTTATTGTGCATATAAAAATTTCGATCCCTGAACTAGAAATAACTTCCAGAGATAACGCATGTTTGAGACCACATACTCCCTTTATCTCAAACCCCTCCCTTTTATTTATTTAAATACTTAATTTAAGTACCTGCTTTGGATAGGATCTGCTCTGAGCTGGGGCAAAATATGAAGAAGAAGAAGAAGATAATGGACCTACCCTTAAGTACCTTTCTAAATATTATGTTGTTCAAAATATTTTTTCTTATACTTTGGTTATATTTTCAGTGACCATAGTCCAATGCCAAAAAAGGAAGTGCTAGAACCTCACCATGAGAGGATTTAAGCCTATTAATTCTTTTATACTTACGCAAGTTTAATAGATTCATTTCTGAAATTGTCCATCTTTTCCCTAGCTATGTGTTTTTGACCAGTAAAGTTTGTCTTTTTTGGACCTTATTAACTGGCAGTACAGATTTTAAGTAGAAAATAGTAATGAAAATTTTTTCCCAATTTAATTGAATGTATAGTGATTTCAACATGTGAGACAAGTGTTAAACTATGTGTTTGACATGTAACTTTGGTAATTACAGGCTCACCCTTTAGGTCTGGATAAGTGTATGTTTTTCTTTAGAATAATTTATGAATAACTAGAATTATTTTGATTTAAATACATTTGGAGCATGATTAATGTGGTCAGATTATTTTAATCTTTGGTAATGCTTTCATATCAGTGTAAATCATGTTACTGGGGGAAAATATCTTTTGATTACATTTTTATTTTTAAATACTTTTTAATGTGAAAGTATTAAGTGATTATGTAGAGGTGAGCTTGATTGTTGGTTTGAACTACCCAGGATTTTACTTTATTATTTATTATTCTGACTTCAGACACTCCTACTTAGTATGAAGATGTTACTATACTATGGAGTGCTCTGAACTTTAATGTGTCCCTTTCTTTAGTGTTCATTTTCATTTGTTTGTCGGTGCCATTTAGTCATTTTTTAACTCCTCTCAATCTCTTTCCCAGCTAGTTTTCTGTCTGTTCCCACTCATCCTACCCTATAATTCAACCAAAGTGGTTTATTTTACAATTTATTGTTTTGGTGAGATTTTCTTTGATATTTACTTTGGATTTAGGATTTCTTTTATTCCATTTTATTATTTGCACTAGCCATCTAAATTATTTGTTCATATTTTCATTGATTTCAGAGAGGAAGGGAGAGGGAGAGATAGAAACATCAATGATGAGAGAGGATCATCTATCGGCTGCCTCCTGCACGCCCCCTACTGGGGATCGAGCCCACAACCCAGGCATGTACCCTTGACTGGAATAGAACCAGGGACCCTTCATTCCAC